ATGAATTAACTAGATGACCTTAAACGATGACCTTTCCTTTAAGGAAAAGGAAATTAACATTTTCTGAACTCAAGCAAGTAAGTTCCATTATATTTTCACAAAAACATAGCAAGGTAGGTAAGATTCCCATTTCCTTAGTATATGCAGAGAGTCAAAAATGTCGGATGATTTGTCCACAGGGTTGAGTCAGAAGATTTTTGATTTTAGACTGACAGACAATTAAGTCCATATTCTTTCAACCACACACACTTCACCTTTCTAGACTTTTGTTTCCCTATCAATGCAATTCAAAGACTGGACCAGATAAACTTAAAGTTGTTTCTAAGATTATAAAAAACCCTGCTTACCTAGATCATCTGTTGCAAAAGGCTCAAAATTTGATGATACAGACAGGACACTAGCATTATCAGCATCATTCTGCTCACTTATTTTATGTGTTTCTCTTTCAAAGTTCTTCTCAAAAGTTTCCTAAGTTACAGTAAAACAAACAAACAAAAATCACTAGTTCTTCTTTTAAGAATTTCACATTAAGGATTTAACAGAGATAACTAAGTATTTACATAAAATTGTACACCTAAAAGATATTCATAAGTTTCCTCAGTATTCTGTCCAAACAAGATAATATAACCAAAGTTATTAAATGTTGAATATAGAGTCACAGAGAACAGTAACATAAGTAGCCTTGCAGAGTATTTGTTATTATGTAGATAAACGTACACAAAGACAGCTACTGATTAAATTCTAATTTGGCAAAGTTAACATTTTTAATTATTTCTCTACTCTCAGGGACATTCTCCTATCTCCAAACGCTAACAATGTCTGGTAGCTTACTCTACCTGGCTGTCTCACATCTCTAGAAAAAAATATCACAACATCATTTGCATTTTTTAAAATAAACTTTATTGAAATATAATTTATATACAATGCACTCACTTTAAAAGTACAGTTTGATAAGTTTTGACAAATATATACACTCATGTAACCAGATTCCCTAAAGACCATTTCCATTGGCCCAGGATGTTTCTTCACACCCCTCTACAGTCAATCTCCACCACACCCTACTCATGATTTCTATCACTGTAGATCAGTTCTGCTGATTGTAGAACTTCATACAAATGGAACCAGCCAGTATACACTCTTCGTTGTCTTGACTTCTTTCACTTACTATGTTTCTGAAATGATTCCATGCTGTGTGTTTCAGAAGTTCATTATTTTTTAATGGCTGCATATATTCCACTGTATAGAAATACCACAGTTTGTTTATCCATTTATCTTTTGATGCTTCAGTTTGAGGCTATCATGACTAAAGATGCTATGAACATTAACATACAGTGTTTTTGTGACACATATTTTCATTTCTCTTGGATGAACACCTAGAAGAGAAATTGCTGGGTCACATGCCACGTTTATGTTTGTAAGAAACTGCCAAACTGCTTTCCAAGTGGTTGTGCAATTTTACATTCTCATAAGGACTGTGAGGATTCCAACTGTTCCACATTCTCACCAACACTTCTTATTGTCAATCTTTTCATTTTAGCCATTCTCGATGTGAAGTGGTATTTTCTGTGGCTTTAATTTGCATACTAGCCATTCATATATCTTCTTTCATTAAGTGCCTGTTCAAATCTCTTGCTCAGTTTTTACTGAGTTGTCTTACAACTGAGTTGTAAGCTTTATATAGTCTAGATACCAGACAGTTGTCAGATGTACATACTGGGATTATTTTCCCCTAAGAGTATCTTTTGAAAACCAGAAAATTCCTATTTTTGTCAAGTCTAATTTATTAATTTCTTCTTTTATAGTTAGTGCTTTCTGTGCCCTAAGAAAACTTGGCCTATGTCAAGGTCATAATTTTCTCCCATTTTCTTTTAAAAGTTTTAATAGTGTTGGCTTTTACAGGACTTTAGGTCATTTCAAATTAATTTTGTTTATAGTGGCAGGGTGTCTCACTTACATTTTGATTATGACATTTTACAGTTGTGCTCTTTCCCTTAACTACTGATCTTTTTAAAGTTTCCTATCTTCAATTATGAAATCAAAGATTCGTCCCTGATTAAAGGAAATTTGGACATTAAGGAACATATTTTAGAAATAGGGAAACCATTTTTTTACTTCTTCAAGTAAGACCTGAAGACAGATGTGTTTTTACCATTTTATTATCATCAGGAGCAGGAGACACAAAGTGTGTTCTTCTTCCTAAACCTCAATGTCTCCACTCCATCCTCCTTGACTTAAACTCCCAGACACCTAGTTTCACTTCCATTTTTCTCTTCCCTGGGCAAGACAGGTATCTCTTACACATCTTAATATATCTTTGTAAAAGCTTCAAAAATGGAGCTCAAGAAGCATAGAAGCATCTAGAGAATGAGGCTCTAAATCTGCCCAATACAAAAAACACCACATGGCTATTTAAATAAAATTTAAAATTTAGTTCCTCAGTCATAATAGCTACACTTCAAGTACTTGCTAGCATGTGGCTAATGACTACAGTATTAGAAAATGCAGACATAAAATAATTCCATCACTATAGAAAGTTCTACTGGATACTGCTGCTTCAGATCTGTGAGTGTCAACACTGGATGTTGTTGTGCTGCTGATTAACCGGCATTAGTAAAGGGAAGATGCTGACCTTAATGCTGAGTTTAAGTTTTGGAAGAAATATCAAAGAACTGATTTAGTTACTTAATTAAAGTAATACTAAACACAATTACTATCCCAAGTCCTTACTTGTCAAGTAGTATAGCATCTTTAAATTTCATTTGATTTTAAAACCTTCTTAGGTTAACTTTATCCTAAATTGTAGCTCAACTTTCAAAATGTGCTATCAATGGTGAAAACCAATGTGCTACAATCTCTTAAAATAAATCAAAGTAATGCTGCCTGTATGAAACTTGGATAAAAGTGAAAGCACTGGAATTAAGGATATAAAATTATTGCAAAATACATCTAGGAATGGAGACTGTTCATTCTCTCTCAAGTTATTTCAATGCCCAATAAACCTTAATATAATTTAACAACTATTTTTTATGTATTCAAGCAGATTGCATTTCATTTCCAACAAAAAGGAATACACAATTTTCAATTAGTTGTAATAACAATCCAAAGGAGCAAATACTTAAACACTACTTCACATTTCACATTGCAAAGTTAATTAAAACCATGTAGTTTTTAGACACAGGTTTATGTTATAGTACTAAAGAAGTTAGAGTCCAGTGGGAAAACATTTAAACACAAAAGATGAGCTAGGGAACTATTATTTTAAATATGAGAAGTTAAAGAGCAAAAATTCAGAAAAACTCAGAAAATTACTGTATCTGAAGAGGCAAGACAATCCTTTGAGGAAACACTGTCTTCAGAAAAAATTTAGCATTAACACTTCAACAAAATGCAGAAACAGTAACTTCCAACTCTCTACCTATAGCCGATATTTGCTAATCAACTATGGAACTCTTACCCACATAACTCCAGGTGCTAGAGTTGTCATAAAAAAAGGAATGTATTTGCTATCCCACGACCACATATAATATTTTACAATAAAAGCAAGGCCTGAACCTTGAAATAGGTGATTCCCAAACACCTAGCACATTATCTCCTCAGTATACTAGTAGTTTTCTCACGGTTATTCAATCAGTGATGTGCTAAGTGCTATTTGGAGGACACAGCTTACTAAATTTATACCATTCTCCTCAGCACTCTTCTCCATTTCCAGGTCCTTTTTATTCTATTCAAAATTTTCTCCATCAATTGGAATACATCAAATCACAAGTTTTTTCCTGGAAGACTTTCTTTTGTCTAGGCTTTTTTTTTTTTTAACCCAAAGACCTGATTTATCCTGTATTTATTCATTCAAGGGTTTTTACTATAATCTGATTGCTGTCTGTTTTACTGAGTATCTTAAATAAATACAACATACATTTGTAAACGTCTTTTAAGAGTCAGCCTCTATACTGGGTAATAATGACAGAAATATGGCTATCTTAGACCTCATAATCTATCATACATACCTAATTTTTGGTGTCTGCTACCATATTTTGATGGCATATTATAACTTGCCCTCAAAATAAAATAACACATTATACCCAGGTTTTAAAAAAAGCTGAAAAACAAGTATATTAGGTCTACCTACAATTTGACAATAACCTATTTAACTTTTATTTGCTGCATACTAAAATTATGTCTACAGTTCACTAATCAATATCAGCTTACATCATCAGTAGTAGCAAGGCTCTCACTAGGAGTAAGTTCTGAGTTTGACGCTATCCAAGTACCAGAGTTTACTGACTTTACATTTTCTCCTTTTTCATGGCTCTCAGAAATATGTCTGGATACTATGTCCTAAATAAGAAAATAAGATCATTATTTACATAAAACATACATGCTTAATCATTCATTTATATTACAGATTCAAAAGTAAAAGCAGATGGAAGGAAAAATGTACTGTTTCTACCCTCACAGGTTAAGTGTGAACAAGAAGTAGACAAAACACTGAAAAGGTACTCAAAAAAATACTTTAATACTGCTTAAGCTATACAAAAATTTTAAACAAAATGTCAAGAAAGCACACAGAGAACAGATCAAAATTCATATGGTACATGCTTCAGTCTAAGAAAGCAACCAGATGTAATCATGAAGAAGGTGATAATAGGGCAGGAAAAATTATGTTAGGTACCAGATACCTGCAATGCATATAAAGCCCTCTGTCTCAAGTAGTCTGTATTAAGTAGCTGAAGCTCATGGAAGAGTTCAATAAGAAAATGTGGACGAGATTCATTTTGAGAAATTAATGTAGCTACTTCAGAATAAATAGTATCTCGCAAAGCTTCAAACATGGAAAAATCACTCCCAGTTTCTGGAATACATAAAAGACCAGAAAGTTAATATTGATGAAATACCTTCATGACAACTTTTATTAGCTAACATCATTACTCTCAGCTTTAAATTACCTAAAAATTCTATTTTAGACAATTCTATTTCAGAGCTTTTAAAGTAGAAAAGAAGCTTAATATTACCAAGATAAATAAAATCTTAAGATATCAAGATATGTATTTTATACTAAAAATAAAATGTTAATGCATGAATAATATTACCTAGCATTATTAAGAATCATATTTATTTCTGGTCATATAAAATATACAGAAAAATTATCCATTTTATGGGAAACATCAGTGAAAATCTTTCAACAGTAAGAAATAAGCTAAGTGCTCATTTCTTTTTTGCTTTTGCTAATATGAACTTCATTACAGAAAAGGAAGTTTGTGTATTTTGTTAATGTTAAAAAAAATAAACTGAATGTTGCCAATTAAAACTACTAGATTAAGGTCTATCCAATATAGTCTAATTATCAAATCTCATACATCACAAAGAAAAGTGCTATGCTGATGAGTAACCAAATCTGTAACCTAACATAATAGGTCAATTTCACCACTGTGTCTTATTTATATACTCAGTGTATATTGGAGCAGGCAAGTAACCCAACTGAAGTTTTCAGTTTCACAGAATCTAGGCATCACTCTATTATTTAGCTACAATTTGGCTATATTTACTTGTGGATAACACAAAATTATCACACTCAAAGGTATCCAGTTATACCCTTAATTTTAAGAGGGCAAATTAGGAACTGTTCCCATTTTGAGTTGTCTGTGGGATAAAAAATCTCAAAGTAGTTCTAGCTATCAAATTCTGTAAACTCTAGTTCAACAAAAGAACCACAAATAGCTAGTAAAATATTCAAGTTCTGCAAAAATCAATGATAAGTTTCTAAGAAAGAGAATTTAAAATATTGAGTATTTTAATATATTGTGCTTTCAAATAAGTATATATACAAGATTATAAAAACTCATTTTTGTGAGAGGGATAAAAAAAATGCAAAAAGAATGTGCTCTAACAGAAAAATTTTCCACTACTCGGCTAATAATATCTTCAGGTCTCAATTTCCACAAGCATAAAATAATAACATAACTAATACAAGGTATTAACAGAAAATAATTATATATAACAAATATGCAACTTCCCTATTTTGCTTCAATTACAGGTATAAAATGAAGTGATACACTAAGTTCTCCTAATAGTTTTAAAGTATGAACTGTTACAAAAATAACACTTATTATAATAAGCAGGAACCAAAACTATCTCCGTTAAGAAATCTCTACTAATGGGAAAAATCCAGGTAAAAAGAATTTGATATGCAAACTTTCAACTTGTATACTATAGTGCAGTTTAATCATACTTAATTAAAAAAATTCATTTCAAAGCCACAAGAACTGTTTAATGACATATTTAATACCTCTGTATGTGATAAAATTATCAATCTAAATTGCATATTAAAAATTAAATTATTCTCAAATAATGAATATGCCAAACACAAGCTTCATTCCCCCACCACTTCTGCAGTCAAGAGGTGGAAAGTTTATGCCAGTTTCTCCTCCTGAACTGAAATTGATTAGCTTTGACTAGAAAAATCCCTAATCTTAATCAGGTTTCTCTAATTCCATCCTGTTTTTATATCCTATTTTCAGAGTTCTTTCTTTTCAAAGTGCTACTGATATATTCAGCTTTGTCAGTTATGGGTCCTTGTTTTATATCTTTAGATTCCCCTAAAGGTTCCATTCAAACTGGCTTTTACATTTCATTCATGTAAAGCTGCAGGAGGAGTTAAAAAAAATTTATATCTCTAAATCATAAAGAACCATATTTAATGAGAATACTTATATTCAAGACTAAAATAGTATTTGGGGATCTTTGTAATTTCCATGATCTTTATTTATCACAGTCTTTGCATGTAATAAATAGTTGTTTTGTTTGATGACTTATTTTTCTAAGATGTTGACTGAAAAGGAAAAATAAACTATAAAACTGTATTTCTAGTTCTAAGAAATATTAATGCTTTGAAGAAGTACAAAATAACCTCAAATCAAGTACTAAACCATAAAAAAGGTTTCTATTACACTTATGAATGTGTTAGGTTACATACACTAACAGAATATGAAAACAAAAGCAGCCAATTTTACCAAGAATTATAAATGAAAGGCTTCAGATTTTTATGAATTAAATTATCTTTTACAATAGTCACATAACATATATACTCTAAGCTAAATCTAAAAAAGAAAAAAATCAGAATAATAAAACTTTTAGGACCAATGGGAAAAAATTAACAAAAGTGGACACCAAAACTACGCAGATTGTTACCTGGCGGTTCATTGCATGCATTTCTGTTAGACTGCTGTAGTATTCTCCTAGCATGTGCTGTAGGAAAGGGCAGACATAAGGATGAACATAAAATGTGTATGAGTAGTAAAGACAGGGTCTATAACATGAATAAGTGAATGAAAAAAAGAAATAAGCAAATTTCTTTAAAATTGTTTGCCTGAACTAAGGCTTACGCTCTACTTAAAAATAATCTCAAGGAAAAAAATCTCAAAAGGTTTGCTATAAACCTATATTAAGGCAACTTATGATGACTATCATAATAAACTTCTATCATTCATTTTTAGAAGCATACACATCAAGGTGAACCTCCCACAACACCCACGGGAGAAGAGGACTGCGTAATTTAATACTAGCAGTCATATTATGCTATACTCTAATAATCATATGTTATGAGTAGAGTTACAAAAAGTAACATGCCTTACATGCTATAAAGAATTCTAGGTTAATGATTAAAACTAAAAATAAATCTTTTCAGGGCTGGGTGCAGTGGCTCACGCCTGTAATCCCAGCACTTTGGGAGGCCAAGGCGGACAGATCACGAGATCACGAGATCAGGAGATTGAGACCATCCCGGCTAACACAGTGAAACCCTGTCTCTACTAAAAATACAAAAAATTAGCCAGGCATGGTGGCACGCGCCTGTAGTCCCAGCTATTCAGGAGGCTGAGGCAAGAGAACTGCTTGAACCCGGGAGGCAGAGATTGTAGTGAGCTGAGGTCGCACCACTGCACTCCAGCATGGGTGACAGAGCGAGACTCCGTCTCAAAAATTTTTTTTTAAAAATCTTTTCAGAATGTAAATATGTAAACTTGTGCATATTTATACTATTCAAACATTTTTTAATTCACCAAAATTCAATCATTATATTTCTCTAAGTAACAGTAATAGGGCTTGAAGTACTATGACCAATTAAGACTTTCAGTTTAGTGTCCTTCTTCGACCTCTACCTGACTGTTTATTTTTTGAAGATATCACCATTTGGTAGAGAGAGTAAAAGGAGATGAAAATTATAAAATTTTAGTAAAATTCTGGGATCAGGAGAACAGGATTGATATTTTTGCAGAAAGGAACACAGACTTAACAGAAGCCCAGCTTCTAAGTTCAGCTTTACCACTTCCTAGCAATGTGAGCTTAAGAAATTCGTTTCAAAATGCAGACAAATGTGATGTTTCTTTTCTGATTACAAAATGGTAAATGCTCATGAGTTTAAAGATGATAAAACCACTATTAACATTTTGATGCATTTTCTTCCAGCCTTTTTGCATTCAAATTTTCGTCTGTACATAGTTGAGATCATACTGTTGAGACAATGCTAAATCTTAATTTCTTTTTTTTTTCCCCTTTGGTTTTCTTAGGTTGGATTACTAGAAGTACAATTACTGGATTAAGGGCATGAGTTTTGAAACTTTCCAGAAAAGTTGTACCATTTTATATTACTGAGCCTTTATGAGTACTGAAAAACAAAAAGTGCCCTCTCTTTGACTATGCTTCCTCTGAAAAATGGAAATCAAACCAACTCAGCGTTATGAGGCGCAAATGAGATTTGTTGGTAATTTGAAAATAATGGAGCATGGCACAAAAGATAGCTGCCATTATCATTTTTAAGCAAAAAACGTATGCATTTTACACTAATGCCAATGAAAGCTACTAGATTAAGGTCTACCCAGTATAGTCTAATGTCATGTTATTGCCTCTCTCTCTCCGTATTTCTTTGGGATATTCTTTACAAATTAGGAAACTACTGGTGCTTACCTAAGTATTATTTGCTGCCAAGGGACTCAAAAAGTGACAAACAGGGAAATACTATAATAATGTGATTAAGGCAACAAAGTAGGTTTATACAAGCTACAAGGAAAACAGGAGAAAGGGGAAACTATCCGAGCTTGGATTAGAATGGAGTTCCAGAATTAAAATTGTATTAAGAGTCCAGCAGAGAAATGAACTTACAAAAAAGGTAGAGAGGACTTGAGATAGAAAAATAGCTACCGAGGCAAGAAAGAATGTGATAGCTATACAAAAACTTCAGTTCAGTGCCACACAAAGAAAAAAGTGCAAAGCAGAGGGTGTTGAGAAATGAGTCTGGAAAGGCAGGAAGCAATCAAATCCCTGATGGCCATGTATGTTCCGTGAAGGCATTCAGACTTTATCTTGTAGGCACAGTGAGCCAAAGGACTGAAGCAGGGGATGACATGATTTCCTATCTAATTCTTAATCAGATAAGATATTCAGAATTTGAAATGAGGAGTTCCACAACTGTAACTATGCTTTGTTTAGAATTTTATTAAAACGTGTTCAAAACTATTAAACAGTATAACAAAAAATATTTTCAGTTTCTATTTCTCAGTATCAAGGAATGTGCACTATAATTTCCACTATAAAACCTTCCACATGATAGATATGTGTGACACACCAATTTTAAAACCTGCTTTATTACAGCTTTTCAAATCTAAGCTGAAAACCTCCTTATATTAATGCAAACCAAAAAAGAACATACCTGAAGATATTTCTGTAGACCTATTACATTTTATTATTTTTTCCAGTTGCTCATGATTCTTTCTGCTGAATACTTTTGCTTGAACAGGCTCTTCAGTCTGGGCTGAATGTCTGTTCCTACTTTTGCAAGGTTCACATGTGCTAGACATACTGGCACTTTCATACCCTTGAGTAAAAAAAGTGACAACTGTTATCAGTTGCAACTAACTCACACTAAAAGGGAAATTGGTTTCCACAGTCAAACAGTACAGGTAACTCAATTTAGAATGCTAGGAAGGCCTGGTACAAACAGGACACAAAACAGTAAATATGTCTTGGAGGTATCTTTGCAATACCCTTTGGAAGCATGAGGTAACAGTAATAAATCTAACCTTCACTGTTCTTTGATACTCATCTTAATGAGTATATTCCAATTCGAAGTATATGGCAGACCTTAAATGACCCCAAATCTCTACTACAATTCCAAGTTAGCAATTTTTAATATTAGGAAACATAAGAACTACATCCGATATATACAAATATCCATTATAGAGGGAGAGTAGTCAAATACATTTACCTTTCTTATTATATCTTTTATGTGACATGACTTAAGAGGTCTTACCCATCAATAGGTTATACATATATTCTACAAAATGTTCAAGTTTTTAAAATATTTTGGTATATACACAAGGTAGAAATTCTTTTTTTTTTTTTTTGGTTCCACATGGATAGGTGGCTATACCTACCCTCTTTCCACTGAATTAAAATATACATCGGTCAATATACTAAATTCCAATATTTGGGGTTTTATTTTTGGACATTTTATCTGTTCAACTTAGCTATTCCAATGCCATTTTCATTCATTTAGAAACACAAGTTATACGGTATGATCAAGTATCTGCTAAGGCAAGTCCTACTAGCTTCACTTTTTTCTTGACTATTCTGGGGCACCTGTCCTTCCATATAAGCTTTGAAGTTTTTATGTGTATTTTTTCAACTTTAAAAACCATCTCTGGGGACTCAAAATGGAATCAAATTAAAAGTATGTGTTCATCTGGAGAAAACTGGAATTTAATAATCTTACGCATTTCCATCTTTTCATCTTAAGAACATGGTTATGTTTTTATATTTGTTCAATCTTTCTGATGTTCTTCAAAAATACAGCTTTTTATAGACCTAGTACTTTCCTTGTTAAATCTGTTCCTTACGTTTTACCGCCCCCCACTCAAACACTTTTGACTACTACTGTGAGAAGGGCATTCCTCTCCACTTTCATCCTACTGGATATTACAATAGAGAAAAATATTCACACACTTATTCCATAACCAGTCACTTTAACAGTTTACCTTGTAACTCTAGGAGTTACTTTCCAGTATCTCTTGGGCTTAGTATATAAAAATGCCACTAGAAAAAACACATAAAATTTGTTTCCTTCCTTTTCCAATATTTATTACAATTATAATTCCAATTATTTGACATAATGCTTCCCAAATAATGATAAATAATGATGGTGGTACAGAAGGAATCCCTGTTTAGTTCCTAATTGAGACAGAAATATCTCTGGAGTATTTTCATTTACAATGGTGCACACTGGCTAACAGTCTTTACTACACTTAAATAACTGCCTTTGTTTTCCTTTTTTTTTTTAATTTTCTTTTGAGACTGAGTCTCATTCTGTTGCCCAGGCTCAAGTACAGTGGCACAATCTTGGCTCATTGCAACCTCCACCTACCAGGCTCAAGCAGTCCACCTGCCTCACCCTCCCAAAGTGCTGGGATTACAGACATAACTATCTTCTTATACCCATTTTACTTCAAATTCCCATGAGAATAGCTTCAAATTTTATCTAAACTGCTATGATTATGACTTTTGTCCCTTTGATAGAATAAATTATGTTGACAGATTTCCTGGTAACAAATCATCATTACATGTCTGTAGATAGTCTAGTGTAGATTGTCTAGAATTCTTTTGATACAATGGCAGATTCAATGTGCTAATATTTTATTTTTACTTTTGAATTTATATTAGTGAGACTGATCTACTGTTTCCTTTATTAAACTGTTCTCTCTTGTCTTTATCTTCCCTTGTATAAAGATCTCTTATGATTCATAGGTTGTTTCTTCAGGTTTCCTCAAATAGGATCAACTAGAATCTCCTTTTCATTCTGACACCTGGAGGGTCCTTTGGCTGAGTATAAGGTTCTTGAGTTGCAACTGTGTAGCGTCATTCCACCTTTTTCTACTTCTACTTGTGTGGTAAGGAAGATTGCCTGGTGTTGCCCTGGTTCTTTTTCTTTGTATGCAACTTGGTCTTTCATGCGGAAGCTTAGAGGATTTTTACTTTTTCCTTGGAATTCAGGGATTTTTTACCAGACTCTGCATAGGTGCTTGTGTGTTTCCCTCACATCTCTCCTGGCTAGACAACTGTCAGTTGTTCTGATCTGCAGTCTCAAGTCTTTCTTCATCCCATCTATTATTTAGTTATTGCTTGTCCACCTGTTTTTTTTTTTTTTTTTCTCCTTTAGAACTTCTTGTAACCCTCTAATTGTTTTCTCTTGATTTTATCTGTTAGTACTTTCTTTCCATTTAATGACATATTCTTCCCTTTATTTTCTAGGCCAGTAATTTGGAACTTAATAGCACGTGTCCTCTTTTTCAAATAATCTAAACATTAAAACTTAGTTATTTTTTCTCTAGTTCTAAAGAATTTGCTATAATTCAATCTGTTTATGTGCCCTTATTATTTTGTTCAAGCATATTTGTTCAATATTTTGTTCAATAATTCTATTTTCACTAGGTTTTGCCTGTTCCAGTGGTCTACTTCTGTTTTCTGGTAACTAGGTCCCTTTTATATGCACTGTTATCTTCATTGGCCTAGTCATGACTCTCACCTTCTCTTAAGGCTGGATCCAAATGCTGGATAGCTTTAATGATGGCAAGATGAGGGTGCATGGAAGTCTCATTGCTGTGGTCAAGCAACATTTTCGCTAGCAAGTTGTCAGTCCCTCATCAAGACTATGGGAGGAATCTTCTCTACTGCTTAGTTTCTTCAGCTGTGAAGACTAATGCTCTCCCATGTACAGGGTTAAGGAAGGCTGCCACCTACTCACTCAATAACCCTTCTACCAACTAGTAGCTTGAAGTAGCAAAACATTGCTCCTCTTGGGGGTAAGGGGAAGGGTCAATAATAGGAGGAATTGCATGGATCTCCTCCATCATAGCTTTCTCCAAGAATCATGGAGATCGGACTATGCTCCTGACACTCTAGGAAAGAGGCAGCAGACCCTAAAGCCTTGCTTGCATCTTCCAGATCACTGCAGGTCGACTAATAACAAATAATTTCCCAAAACACTGTCAATTTATTATCTGTGATATCCCATCTAGATTCAACCCTCCCTCTCTGTTTCCAAGGCCATCATATAAGACTTCATCATCTCAAATTTAGGTTCCAAGTTTTTTCACTGGTCTCTCAGACTAAAGTTTAGCCTTTGCCACCCAGTCTGCATGAAATTTAGTAAAAGGCCTCTTGATTATTATTGATCTTAATATAAAACCAGCAATAAAGGGTATGAGTGCCAAAAGTAATATGTAAAATGACATGACTGGTAGTATATTGCTCACTTAATAACATACAATGATTCTAAAGAAAAAAATTTTAAGTATGTTATTCTAACATGAACATTTATATAAGTGAAATGAAACATTTAAATGCTGTTACTATATCAGATGAAAAATGCTGAATAAATTTTAACCAAAATTAAAATACAGGTAATGTGGTATATACAACATTCTCACTGGGGAGTCACAATAGGTACTTTAAAAAGGCATACATACAGTCATCCTCCAAAATAGCTAAAACTGTGAAGAGAAGCAGGCTATAATTATTAAGATGCTACGAAAAGAGAAAAAAAGAAAAAAAAAACTATGGTTTTATATATGAGTCCCAAATTAACAACATCAAAGGCTACATTTCCAAAGTTAAGGTACTAATGTGTGACTGAATTCTTTCTCTCCTGGATATCTTGATAGTAATCATCTGGGAAGAGTAGAATTAATGAAGGTTAATAATACTTCTGAGAAACACTGGCTAGGCCAGAAAGTATAACAATAGCAAGAGTAACACATGATGCTTATTACTGAGGGTAACTGTGATGAGCGATAAGGATATTATCTCCTATGCCACTTCACTACTCTTTCCCTTTCTCATTCTGTTTTTCTCAGCATGGGGGGCTGACATTACTAGAAGAAACAGTACTTCTACTTGGGCTTCCACTGAAGGGAAACAGATCAGCCATGGCACTCCAGAGACCTTGCACATGTGCAGAGAGGTTAAGGTCTGAATCACAGTACAAGCTGTCTTGGCAGAAGGCCACAGAATCATCCTGGAACATGGGCAAGAGAGGCTTGTGAGAAGTTGCTATGTGGATGGACATTTTCCACTCACCTCCCTCTTGCCCTGAGATGCTTCTGTCAGGAGAGTTTCCCATCTCCTCTCAGGTTCTAATGAAACATTAGACCTTTCTTCCTCACCCTTGTACAGTACATTTGCAGACTAAGAACAGGCTTAGCTGCAGTACAGCAATGATTCCTCAGCAACACGGTGTCCCACCATCCAAGGGACAATCATTAACCAGCCCCTTTTATTTTGGTGTCACTCTTTTCAAGTGTGAAACAAGGGACACAGAGAAATGGCCCCTTGGACTACTCTTTTCTCTGCCTAAGTAATTAATAAATAACTAAATTCAAAAAGTCTACTGGTTGTTTACCAGCCAAATCTGTCAGGCCTTGCCTTGCCTAATGTTTCACATCCGTTTCATGTCCATCTTCATTAGCGAGCAACAGGAAAGGGAGGAAGGGAGAAATGAAAAGATTCAAGGACAGTAAGAACCCAGAAGTCAGTACCTTAACAGTTCTATCCAATTTTCCAAGAAAAGAGTGAAGAAAATCTAGGCTCCTACTCTCTAATATCATCAGAAGAGTACAGTGTAACCGAATAATACGTCTGATAACAGAAAAACTCAGTAAGGCAGGAAATCACCTTCTACTCATAAGGTCTAAGTCTGAACTCAAGTTTAAAAGATGATTATTACATAATTTATATATTCTTACCTCACATGCAATATGTATTTTCACATATAAAGACCTTCTAAAGATTAAAACACATTTCCATCATGGGAAACAAAGTTAAATGAGATTTATGAAGCTACTTCTGAAAGAATGTGACCATGCACAAAAAACACATACATATTTGGATCACTCTAGTAAGTATGGGACAGTATAACTGGCTGTACTATATCTCTCAAGACAGCAATGTAATTCCCACTATGCTGAAATATTTGTCCTATCTGTTCCCAATTCCTCTCATCCTGCTTCTTTCCCACTCTATATTTACTGTAGTAACAATTTGAAACGCTTTCTACACTTTTCCCCACCCACCTCTATTTACCACTTCCTTTAAGATACAATAAAAACTGGCCAGGCGCAGTGGCTCACATTTGTAATCCCAGCACTTTGGGAGGCCGTAGGGGGCAGATCACCTGAGGTTGGGAGTTCAAGACCAGCCTGACCAACATGGAGAAACCCCGTCTTTACTGAAAATACAAAATTAGCCAGGCATGGTGGCGCATGCCCGTAATCCCAGCTACTCAGGATGCTGAGGCAGGATAATTGCTTGAATACGGGAGGCGGAGGTTAAAGATGCGTAAAAATCCTTTTTTCTAACAAATCTTGACCATTCCTATAGCACAAAAGGAATAAAAACCACATAAACCAGTGGTCCAGTTCAGTACTTTTCAGACTTTCAAGTACATATCTTCGTATCAAAAACCTTGCTAAAATGCATACGGAAGAAAAATACATACTAATTTAGTTGGCATAAGGTGAGGCCCAAAAGCATGCATTTCTAATAATCTCCCAGATGATGTAACGCTGCTTGTCCACGGTTCAGATTTTGAATAGCAAGGATTTAGCTAATTTGATTTTATCCCATATTACTTTGGCTCTGCTATGTATAGTTTGATTCTGCTATCAAGCCTTTTATTTGTGTGTGTGTGCCTTAAAGCAGGGCACTCACTAACAGGTGGTCTTGAATGCTTGCTGAGCAAACTGACTCTATGTTTCCAGCAGGTATTTTCATACCTCAATATGAAGGAAAAGAGCACAAAGATCAGAATGTCAATCTTTATCTTGAAGTTAAAAGGCTGAACTACGTATTTGGAAAAGTAATTCCCCAGAATAAAGGAGTTTCAGAAAACTAAAAACATACCAGCATTTCTAGGGTTAGGTGGTCATAACCATAAATTAGCTAAGGTTCCTCTAAAATCTGCTACTTGAAGTATAGTCCACAGACCAATATTGGCAATACAGGACAGTCTGTTAGGAAGGCAGACTCTCACATCCCTTCCAAGCCAAATGAATCAAGAATCTGCACTTAAACTGTATTCCTAAGGAGATTTGTGTCAAACACTCAAGTTTAAGAAGTGTTGCCCTATCAGATTCAAATTAACTATTTGATTGAGACGATGCTGAAATTTAAAATGTCAGTTTTTCTTCATTTATTTATATGAAAAAGAGCATCTTTGTGGGGGCAAAGCACTAGGAAATAGAAAGTTCTGAGTTGCATAACAGCCCTGTCTCAAAATGGCCATTATCTACTTAAATCTTCTCTGGTAGCACCAAGAGTAATCTTGGAAAAGCACAGTAACTTTCTGAATAGCTTCAGATTACCAATTAATTTACTAAATAAACCAGCTTCTCCTAAACCTTTATAATCAGAAAATTACTTCAAGGCTGATAATGTGCATGCTAAGAAAAATGTCACCCCTTTCACTACTGTTCAAATTTGCTTTTTAAACCATCAGTCAGATTCTTCACATGGGCTTCAAGGTAGGAGCCAAGGACTTCAAGGATAGATGAATTACTGAAATTTTTTAAAATGTGCCAACATTCTCTTTTATATCTGTGGTTTTCATTAGATTTTTCAAAGGTTTCATTATCCAAAAGTGATTAAGATGAAGACTGCCAAAGTTTACAAGTGTATTTTTTTACTACAGGATTTCTCAGGGCCTTTACTATACTTGTATGTGTTGTGAACTCCCAAAAAAGGGAGTTAGCAGTGTGCAATGCATTTCAAACTTTCTGATTATAAGCCTGGAATACTTTGTTCTTAAACACCAATTTTTTTTTTTCCAGAGTCTTGCTTTGTCACCCAGGCTGGGCGTACAGTGGCATGATGTTGCCTCACTGCAACCTCTGCTTCCCAGGTTCAAGCGATTCTTATGTCTCAGCCTCCTGAGTAGCTGGATTACAGGCACGCCCACCACACCCGGCTAATTTTTGTATTTTTAGTAGAGATGGGGTTTCACCATTTGGACAGGCTGGTCTCGAACTCCTCATCTAAGGTGATTCACCTGCCTCAGCTTCCCAACTTGCTGGGATTACAGGCATGAGCCACCGCACCTGGCCTTAAGCACCAAATATGATCTCCTTAAACTCAGAACAACCTTTCAAGGCCACAACCCATCCTTTGCCAACATAAAAAGAATATCCTTCAGCTGTAACACTGCAGATTTTAGCTAATAAAACTATTTTTAACCTAGTATACTTCAGTAAATAATTCAAAAATCACAGAAAATATATTTTTCTAAGAGGTATGAAGCTAACACCATAAAGAAAACTTCAAAAAAATTTTTAAAAGAACTTTGATACTCAATGGCAAGATTGAGTAAAATATAAGTTTAGCTCCAGGAGGACTAAAGCCAGCCTGTTTTGAAACTGTTTTATCTATATGATATTCAAAAACTGCAATATATTTAAGAAGACCACTTTTCCTTAAACGCACCAATCAAGAATCCATCTAAAAGTCATGACCAAAGAGTTGGATGCAGGATCCAATACAATAGCAAAAGAGAAAAAAGAGTAAAATGTGGGCATTTTGGCAATTTTTCAAGAACTTACAAAATTGAAGCTTTAAGAAGCACCAAAAATAAATGCCATGTTTTACAACATTAATCCAGAAAATTAAACCCTATTTCAAATATTATTTTGTAAAAAAAAAAAAAATTACATATAAAGGTAACTAAAAATGACTGTTAGCAACTAAGTCTAGCACAGCACCTGCACATCTAGCCTTTCTGAAACTATATATATGTCAACATGTCAAAGTAAGATTACCAACATTTACACTGATCAACATTCAACAAATTTCAACACTTACTGATGTTTTTAACTCTGCTCTTCAGCTGAGTAGAATTCCTCTTCTTACTTTTTGACTTGGGAGTTTTATCTTTAGATGCCAGGCTGGCCTGTGCAGATGCTTTTCTTGTCTTGAATGTTTTAGTCACTGTTGTTGGATCTACTGGATCAGGCATACTGCTAAAGCTTTCCAATGATTCTTCATCAAAATGGCGTCTTCTTCCGTTTGTATCTACTTGATTTTTGCGGTTACTATTTGTAGATTTTTCTACAGACACTGCAAATCCAGTCTTGATAAACGGTTTCTCTACTTCACCTTCTTGGTCATATAACCATGGTGTCCTACTGCTTTCCACCTCCTCTTCAGGCAGTTTTTTATTCCTTACCAACGAAAACAAGTTTTTATAAGTTTACAATTACAGATTTCTTTATTTACAAAAACTCCAAATATACTGAATTTATAGTCTACTCTTGAGCAGATTTAGGTGAATGAAACTGTCAACAGGCCATAGAAATGTTTTCACAAACATACACTTTAAATATGCAAATACCACATAAGCTAAGGTACTAAATCAGTTTTAATTCTGGACCCATCTCACTAAACCACTTTTACTGGCAAAAGTTCCTTATCAAAGATCTAGCATTCGCAATGGAAAACAGTGGGAAATAAAAATCAGGCTAGCTGCAGTGGCTCACGCTTGTAATCTCAGCACTTTGGAAGGCCGAGGCAGGAGGACTGCTTGAGCCCAGGAGTTCAAGACTAGCCTGGGCAAGACGGTGAGACACCGTTTCTACAAAAAATTTTAAAAATGAGCCAGGCACAGAAGCATGTGCCTCCAGTCCTAGACATTCAGGAGGTTGAGGTGGGAGGATCCCCTGAGCCCAGGAATTCAAGGAGGCAGCTAGCTATGATCATGCCAACTGCATTTCTGCCTGGGTAACAAAGTTAGACCCTGTCTCTAGAAAAAAACAACAAAAAGAAAAATCAAAGGAAGATGGGACAAAAAAGAACAAAAAGCTGGAAGAACGGCTCAGAAAGAGCTACAGCAGAGGGCTTGGGAACATACATGGATTTGTGTTCACCTAAAGCAGTTCAAGCAGAACAAGAATTTGGTGAAAACAATTGGTCATTCAACCAGTAATTTATTTCTCCACTCCTTAAGTCCATAGTTCTATTATCTACTGTCATTTCCCAAATTTTATCTGCTGAATACTAGCATCCCTTAATGTTTAATAGGTACTCATCGGTCATCTAGGCTGGGGAGAAAATACGTAAAACAAAGTTAAACAGGTCTGTAAAGTATCTCAGAACTTTTAATATGCCAACATGCTTTATAAATCTCTTAAGAGTGCTAGTGAGCAAGAAGTCCAAAACTTTATCACAGAACCTAGCGTGAACACCACCACTGCTCCTAAGAATAGTCTGGGAGACAGTGACCTATAGGATTTAACTCAAGACAAGAGTTAGAAACCTGTAACTTACAGGCCAAATTCAGTCTGCTGCCTGTTTCCACATGGCCTCTGAGAGCTAAAAATGGCTTTTATATTCTTAAATAGTTGGAAGAAAAAAATTAAAATAAAAAAGTTTGTGACAAATGAAAATTATATGAAATTAAAATTTCAGTGCCCATAAATAAAGTGTTTTTGGAGAACACAGCCATACTCATGTTTACATATTGTCTATGGTTGCTATTGTGCAAAACTGTCACAGATGAATGGCTGTGATAAACACCATATGGCCAGCAAGGCCTAAAATACTAACTAGTCTTTTATAGGAAAAGTTTTCTGACCCCCGAGTAAGACTACAGGATTTTATCTGACTTCTTATCTCTAGTCATTTAATTCCACGAAATTACAATAGTTGAGATTTTGGGTAAGGAGGTCTAATCTGAAGTAGGCCAAATATCTAAAATAATTAGACATTCAGATCCATCCTAAAAAAGACATAAGTAACTAATTTAAAACCAGAGTAATTTTTTACTATCAATTATATAAAAAACATGGAAAATAATGAAGTAGGGACATTTTGGTAGGAAGGTCTATTCACTGAAGCTTTGAATAAATGTTTACTGCTTGTGATGGATATTCATTCAACAATCATTTCTGAATAGTAACTGTGAGCTAACACTGTGTTAGGCTTCTGACAACAGAATACCTTTATAGAGCAACGTGAGATTTAACAGGAAAAAACAGAACAACTAAAAAAAGGAATCAACAAAGTAAGGGATGTTAGTCACAGGATTCCTAGTGGTGAATATAAAGTTGGAATTCTCAGAGTTATTGGTTAATCAAGTTAAAAAAACAAAAACCCAGTTAATGATTAGGTAATTAAACAGTATCAAAATGCTAATAGAAGAGCCTGAGACAGTCCTAATCACACAGCTAAAGACAACTACAATGTGAATTATATATATTTTTACAGAGTAGAAAAGACAATCAGAGAGATATATCTGAGAGATTAAGTTCAACTGAGCCAATCTTTCACATTGAGTCAAAAATTGTGTTTCAGAAGATTATAGCATTAAAAAATAACAAATGTAAGAAACAAAGGAAAAAGAAATCCTAACTATGATTAATACCATGCATCCTCAAAACTTATGAGGCAAAAGTTGTTTTTATAATCTAATTGTACTCAACATTATATTTGAATAGGCTTTAGGAAGTGATTCTAATCAAGAGCTAGGAATCAAAAAAAGGGATCATCACTTAACAACTATCTTCTAGCAGTTAATATTAGTTTCCAGCCCTAAGTCAGTGAACAGCAAATTGGTTTAACCTTAAGACAGGTATCAAATCAGAGACTAAAGAAATCCTATGAGTTATGCCACATCCTTCCAAACTGAACTTTTCGTGTACCAGGGTTACAAGGAAGTATCTGGCATCTTATCTACTGATACATTGAAGTTTCATGTTTCCAACATCATCAAGCCAAATCATCACAAATGTCCTCCCTAGTTGCGTTTTCAAATTACATATAATTAGATGTAATCACAAAAGTGAATGTTTAAGCAATGAAAGACTATGTTTACAATCAGGTACCTTGGTTTCTCTGCTCCAATAGAGGAACTGCTTTCAAAAGGTTTTGGAAAAGCCATATATTCTGTTTTTCCTGAAGAATTCTGGGCTAAGGGTTGCTGCTGTTCACTGGGTGTAGAGATATTCTGAGAAAAATCTCCGAAATTAGAAGGAAATAAAGGGCTGAAATTCATACCTAATCAGTAAAATCAATGGGTAAGAGAAAAATAAAGAAATGTCTTTAGCTTTAAAATGAAATTAAAGAACAGTTTTAATTAAATATGCCATTCAAATCCACCAAAACAAAAAATTGTTAATTAAAAAAAAAAGCTAATATTTATCCAATCACTGTTTACAGCTCAGGCCACTATGTTTTAGGCACTGATCAAAGACAACAAATAATCCCCACTCCCTTAAGAGCTAAAAGTTAGAAATAATAGTACCTGACATGTATCAATTACTGGGTGACACACACTACTGCAGGCACTTTACATGTTATTTGGTTTAATACTTAAAACGTTATAAAATAGATACTGCACTCATTTTACCATTGAGAAACTAGGGTTAGAGATCAAATGTCTAATAAATGAAAAAGACGGTTAGATCTCGGGTCTGTATTACTCCTATGCTTATGTTGTTTCTACTCTATTTTTATTGGGAAAGTAGAATATAATTAAATACTTACCAAATCCTGTTATGAATCAGAGGTATTTGCAAGAGGCTACTAACAACGTGGGGGGAAAGAGACTGGGAAGGTTTCACAAAAATTGTACTATTTACAAACAATGAAGAGCCTTTATATACAGTTGGTGTGGGTATGAAGTATATTTTAGTAAAAAGGAAGAGCATTTGCAATTTCTTATTACTTAAAAGTCTACTCATGTGATGTTTGCTGCCAATATTAATTGACACCCAAGAACTAAAAAGCCTGTTAAATTTTTTATGCCACACTGTCTTGAAAATCTCATTAAGAAAAAAACACTATGGTATACGTATATATACACACATATATATACACACGCACACATATACATCCATATATATACACATTGCTGGGCATAACACTATAATATACATATATAAGAAGTATTGAGTACATACATATTGTGATATATACATACACACACACACACACTCACACACACACACACATATTCACAAAACCCTCTCAACCTTTTTTCTCCTCCTGTATTCCCTGTCAACACCTTTAACTCCTCATGATTCACCTCATATAATCAGTCACTTAACTTATTCACTCTATCACTAAAATGTCTTTCAGTCACTCCTTTTTCTTGATCCCTACTGACAAGGCCTAAGGCCAGGCTATCATTCTTTCTATATTATTATGACAGTCTTCTGTTCACCAGCTATATCTTCCACTCCTTTCCTCCAACTTCTGAACACTTTCACCAGTGTAATCTTTCTAAAATATAAATTTCATGTTATCCCTTGCTCAGAGTCCTTCAATGGCACCCTCGTCTGCAATATAAAACCTAAGCTTCTTTGCACATCATAACATGTCTCTGCTACTCTTCAACCACATCAATTACTCTTCCCCTAAATACTAGCCACGCTTAAATACCTCTAAATTCCCTGAGTGATGTACTATTTCATTGCTTTATAACTCTAAGTGGTTTTATTTATTAGAAAGCCCTTTCATTTCTAATCTCTCTGGAAATAAATTCTATTCATTCTTTAGTTTAAATATCACTTTTTTTTTGGGGGGGGGACTGATTTGGTGACACTCCCCAGCATTTGCACCACTGTTATGGCACCCGTGGCACTGTACTGTAAGCATTCATTAATAGCATCCTCACTAGACCCTGAATTCCTTGAAGGATCAGTTACTCATCTTCAGATCCCAGTAACTCACATCATGTCTGGTATGTAATGAGTACAGAAAAAAAACATCCAAAGAAAAGCTTAAGCTAAATGTGCTCTCCTTTAGTCTATTACTATCTACCTAACAAGACATGGTACTCCTCTAGAAGAGCACTGTCTTACTCATCTTTACTCTCCCAGCGTTTTACATAGTGCCTAGAATACAGCAGCCAATGAACAGGTTAATTCTCTTTCCTCTTAATAAATAGTTGAAGCAATCATTCCTAAGTAGTTTACTTAATTTCATTAGAAATCATATTATTAAAGTTTGGTTTAAAAGAAGCAAAGTAGGCTGGGCGCAGTGGCTCATGCCTGTAATCCCAGCACCATGGGAGGCCAAGGCAGGCAGATCACCTGAGGTCGGGAGTTTGAGACCAGCCTGACCAACATAGAGAAACCCCGTCTCTACTAAATATACAAAATTAGCCAGGCGTGGTGGCATATGCCTGTAATCCCAGCTACTTGGGAGGCTGAGGCTGAGGCAGGAGAATCCCTTGAACCTGGGAGGCAGAGGTTGCCGTGAGCCAAGATCGCATCATTGTACCCCAGCCTGGGCAAGAAGAATGAAACTCCACCTCAAAAAAAAATATATATATATATACACACATATATATATATGTATATGTGTGTATATATATAGAAAAGAGTTTGCAACTTTCTTTGCAAACATTCCCTACCCCATTCCAAAAGAAAATGTTAAAACAT